GCTGAACTCTAGGACTCGCAGCGGATTTTTTTTTGCATTTTCACCATCCTTTTATTCTGAATCAAATTCGAAAGCGAAAAAACCCGCTTTAGGGAAAAATTAGTTATTCTGGATTATAGGGAGTGGGAGAATGTGATGACATTTTCGCTAATATTTTTAAAGGGAACTGCCTACAAATATCTGGATGTCAAATCCACGTGAATTTACTCGCTATTCCCGTTCGACTTATTCTAAACAACATTTCACAGTGAATGTTTTCGCATTTCGACTTTCTTTTTATTATGAATTATGTTCGAAAGCGAAAAAATTCGCTTTGGGGGAAAATAGTTATTCTGGATTACAGGGAGTGGGAAAATGTGATGACATTTTGTGCGGAAATTTTCGCTAATAAATTTGAAGAGAGCTGGCTACAAAAACATAAGTAATAAATATTTTTATGAAAATTATCTACACAATCTACAAATTCAATCATGATTTAGAATATCAAATACTCAAAAACAACAAATAAAATGTCATTGGAAATCCTATTGATAATGGTGTTTTTACACGATATGTATTTTACATATGTGCTGTCACTTATTTCATCCATATGTAATTCCTTATGTGTGTCAAAATTAGCAGTGTACACAAAACATTTATTTTTGTGTTCAAATCGGCATATGTATTTTACATATGACATAACCTATAAACAAAAAAACACTTTTATTTTTTCTTAAATCAACATCATTTTTTTATTAAACACCTACAAACGAAATAATAATTTGTAATTGTTGCCTTTTCATCCTATTCTTTGAATTACAATTGAAATATTTTCTTCCAACAATGTGTTTCATTCAAACAGCTGATTTCCTAATGTTTCACATACGAAAATAGAGCGCGTCCTATTCGGAAAAAAATACATATGTAATTGCATATCGTTTTGACACATTGAAATTTCCGTATGTTTCACATGACGAGTTCGATTTCCATATGTAAAAAAGTGACAGCACATATGTAAAATACATATCGTGTAGAAACACCATAACCAAATATTGCCACGGGATGTAAGAAATATTTAAGCCGAGTTTGATGCATTTTGGAGGCGAAATAAAGACAATTTGTGTGAGGATCTGTCTCTCCAGAAAAAATATTAAAAATTATGGAAAAACCACATAGCCAAAATTTGCCTGATGGCGGCTCATTTTTTTAAACTAAAAAAAATTATGAAAGAACAAATACAAAGCTACAAAAAATATTTTTCTTTCAAATTTATCGTTGGCATGATTTGAAGGATAAAATAAAGCAGGAGGAGCATATGATAAAATAATTGGGCACTTTAAGATAAAATATCGAAATTAAATAAAACGACACAGAATTATGTAGTGAAATAATCTGTTGTGGTTGTTGCACCAAATTGCATCATAACAATAAACAGCTGTTTCACATGCCATATTTTCAAATTTTAATTTATTTTCTATAAATTACATAGCAGTTTTACAGAGAATTCTTGATATTTCAAATTTCCACCATTTCGAAAAATCGCATCCGCATCTCGCATTTCTTGCTTCTCCCTATTCATTCAGAATAAGGCGAGAATGTGAAAGCGAAAAATTGTTCACAAGCGAGATTTCTCCCTGACGAATATCCAGAATAAGGCTGAATAACTTTAAATGGAAGAATGAAACCAATTCTCGGGGAATTGATGTCAAAAAAAAAAACCAAAATATGCCATATTTCTGTTACTTCGGTTAAAAAATGCATTTAAATCTTACAAAATATTGAACATGGGACGACGGCATCTCTTTGACGGGGGCTCTATCTTAATTATTCAATATTTATTTGGGTATCTAAGGAATATTTCGGAGTGGGTTGAATTATTGGTTGGGTTGACTATTGAATGCTGCTCCTTACAGGGGAGTGGTTTCTTACATACATTTTTTACTGCACGAATGTTCGGTAAGTATTGTATTAAGTCCTGGCAGATACTGAGAATTGACTCTATTTCAGTCGTTTATTTTTAAGGTGATTTAAATCAATTTTTTCCTATATTGAGATATTTAAGTGATTGTGTTTGATTGGTTTCAAAAATATTGTTAAGTGGTATTTATTTAGTTTGTGTCATTATGCCCTTAAATATAACATAATTTATTTTACTTTACTAGAAATCCAAACTTTGTATCAGAACCTAAAATGGACATAAATCACTTTCAAAATAAACAACCCATTTAAAGACACGGTCCTTTCGAAGTTTTATTGTGACATCAAAAATTTTCTAATCGTGTCATGTCTTGATTTGCATGTATTCCAAAATAGATGTGTAAATCTAAAATGGACTTTAGAAACGATATTTCGCAAAATTTTAATCTATTCGCCAATCGAAATTCTAAATCTTTGAGTATTTCAAATGTTGTACCCTAGCCATATATAAATGTTCGTACCTTTGCGGAGTCAGATAAGATACCGTAAGCCCCACTCAAAAGTGAATTTTTTTATATTAAAAAAATCATATAGCAAGCAAAGTTCACTTTTGTACTCCTTATTCAATATATTATGACGGTACAGATTATTAAAAAATTTGCAAAAAATAAATGCTATAGTCGTCAATGTCACCGGCCGTAGGCGAACCACCACCAATGAACATCAATTAGCAATGAACACGAAAAAAATAAAATAAAATTGTGTCAATTGGGGTTGCCGACAGATATATACCCTCAGCCTATGGTTGGCAGAGGATTTACACACAGGTTTTATTATTCGTTTTATAAAAGTTATGTGTTTTCAACAAAAGAAAATTTACAAATAGATGTAGATTCGGACTTGATCTAGATTTGGGAAAGATAATAGGTTGTGCAAAGTTTGGATTTATTATTTTATAGATATTGGATTTATTTATATAGAACATTTTGACCATTTGTAAAGGAGGTACCAGAAGGCGTGGACCTATGGGTCCCATCTTCGGACTCGAACTAGTCTTGGTAAGGAGAATAGGTTGTTTAAAGTTTTGCTAAAATCAGACATTCCATTCGCCTGATATTGGATTTGTAAATATTGCACATTTTGACCCTTTATGGGGAGGCACCAGAAGGTGTGGACCAATGGGTCTCATCTTCGAACTTGATCTAGGCTTGGTAATGATAATAGGTTGTACGCCGTTTCGGATAGTCTGTACGCATGATATTATAAAAAAATTATTTTTACCACAATTTTTACCATTTTGTAGGGTAGGTACCACAATGAGTGTAGCGATATTCCACGAACTTGAACTTAGTTTGATAGAAAAATTACGATGTACAAAGTTTGAATGAAATCGTTTACTCCCTTCGAGTGTTATCGTGCGACCAGACAAACGGAAGCACATTTGTAATTCGACTTCAAGTTGTCTGAAACGGATTTGGTCCATAGAAACATGGTGGTCTAAAACAATATTCAAAAGTCTGAGGGTAAAAAATATGATACCCTACACAACTATATCTATGTTTATGCGGATCTATATTCCAAGTCTGGTCAATATTTCGAGATATTTGCACTGCATTTCAACCGCTCCTCTGCGGCATGTTTTCCAAAAAAGGTTTTGACCCGCTAAATATAAATATTTATTAGTTGGCCAGACCGCCTTCCCCATGAAAAATGTGTAATGTGCGGCTTATAACTGTGGCTACATTTCCACCCTGTTCTAATGATAATACAAAAAATTTAAAAATACATAGACCTTGGTATAATTATAGTATAACTCTCGCATCCTTATTCTTTCGCCTGATCCCCTTCTCCAAGTAAAATTTCGTGATGTTCGGGTCATAACTGCGGCCTCTAGTCCATTTGATCCCCTATTTATTGACCGAATAGGGGTCTTATTTGGTCCGAACCGGTACTAAGTGTAAAATTTTGTGACAATTGGTCCATAATTGTGACCGACGGTCGGACACACACATGTCTAGATCCACTCTGCTAGTCTAGATATAGCGATCGGTATATCGGTATACTTTTTCTTCAGATGTTCTAGCCACTTTTTTCATTGGTCTGATCCCCTTGTCCACGTAAAATTTCGTGATGTTCGGGTCATAATTGCGGCCTCTGGTCCATTTTATCCCCTATTTATTGACCGAATAGGGGTCTTATTTCGTCCGAACCGGTACTAAGTGCAAAATTTTGTGACAATTGGTCCATAATTGTGACAGACGAACGAACACACATGTATAGATCAACTCAACTTGTCTAGATATGACGATCGGTATTCTTCTTCTCGTTCCTAATTATTCCGATTCTATATTTTTTCTTCAGATGTTCTAGCCACTTTTTTCGCTACCGTAATTTTATCCTGAAATAAACATACCATCTAAAAGGTCTGCTTATTTGGAGAATTTACTAATAAATTTGTAATCCTCTACAAAATTTTAGAAGACATTTCACTCCATTGACATACATATCAGATTTGGCACAGCGCTTCAAAATTCAGGTTTGTGTTTAGACAATTTGCAGGATTCGTTCCCGCAACAGGCCCCTTTAATGTAACAACAATCTTGTTAAACTGAGTTTATAGACCGCAAGAAGAAAAAAACGGAAGAGAACCAAATACCTAAGTTTATGTAGGAATTAAAGCCACATAAATTCGTTATTATTATGGTCAGGAAATCGCTTTAGAGACATTAAATCAGGTACAACTCGGTGATATTATATCATGGGGGTTGTTTTTGAACGTGGACTTAAATTGAAATTTTTTTATTTATTTGTTGTTTGATTTATTTGATATTATATACGATCGCTTAAGCCGGGATTCTATTTAATATATCCCCTTCACAAACAGTTTAATTAATGACACCACCCATATATTTCTGAAGCAAATACCAATGGAAACTTTTACGATAGTTTAATTTTCATTACAACCTTCATTAACGTGTTGCGCCCATCGATTCATGTTGTGGCAAATCTTTGCAATTGTGTGGTTGGTTGATTCCATACTCCCTCCCATTCTGTTTACAATTTAATTAATTCACCCATTTCTCGTTCTTGTGTTCTTTTTGCAGCCTATCGTACCAGTGAGGGTAAACCATGGGTTTTGCCTGTTGTCCGTAAAACCGAAATCAAAATAGCCAGTGATGAGGCAATTAACCACGAATATTTGCCAGTATTAGGTGAGTATACTTTGTGTGAAGACTAATGGTGGTTACATTCGTTCGTATGTTCGTGGACAAAGTAAAGTTCAAAGTGGAAATGGTAATCACAACAAGGAGGATAGCAATAAAAATAACATTATTAAACCCATAGGGAATTTGATAATTAAGTAATTATCAAATGGCCAATTACTGATGAAAATATGTCGAGCTATTTAATCCTTAATGATCACAGAGGAATGACAAACATTTGAACATTATTAACCAAGTGCTGGAATTACTAAAATATATTTATTTTTAATTTTGTTTTTGCAAAATAGTCAGGCTTAATCCCAGTTTGTTGTTTTTATAAAAAAAAAAAATACAAATGGTATCCCAAATAACCCGCCAGACACTACTATTTATTTTTAATTTACAGGCACTGAAGCATTTACCAAAGCAGCTACTACATTGTTGTTGGGTGAAGATTCTCCAGCTCTTAAGGAAAACAGGGTTAGTTAAAAAAAAATACAGTCAATAGAATCATTAACTTAATTGAGCATTTTCTTTCAGGCCTTTGGTGTACAAACCCTGTCTGGTACAGGTGCTCTGCGCATAGGTGCAGAATTTTTACGCCGCCACATGAATCGCACTGTTTTCTATTACTCTGACCCCACATGGGAGAATCATCACAAAGTCTTTATGGATGCTGGCTTCCAACAGCCCAACACTTACCGTTATTGGGATCAAAACAAACGTGTTTTGGACATTGATGGTCTATTGGCTGACTTGGAAAAGGCACCAGAAGGAGCGGTTATTATTTTGCATGCATGTGCCCACAATCCAACCGGTTGTGATCCTACCCAAGAACAATGGGTACAAATTGCCGATTTGATTGAACGTAAAAAGCTATTCCCATTCTTTGATTCGGCCTATCAAGGATTTGCCAGTGGTGATCCTGATCATGATGCATGGGCTGTTCGTTATTTTGTTAAGCGCGGCTTTGAACTTTTCTGCGCCCAATCATTTGCCAAGAATTTTGGTTTGTATTGTGAACGTGTTGGTAATTTGACAGTTGTCTCCAATACCACCGACCACAAATCTGCCGTACAATCACAATTTACTCTATTGATTCGTGGCATGTATTCAAATCCACCAGCATTTGGTAGTCGTATTGTGTCGACGGTATTGAATAATGCTGATTTGAGACAAGAATGGTAAGTGGGGGGTTGTCGTTTGCGGATGATGACATTTATTATAACCATATCTATCATAAGAAGTATTTTGTTAAATTTAGTTTAAATCGGCTAAATATTGGAAATATTGTACCAAGTTTAGTTAAGAGAGTTGAGGACTAAGTTCACTATTTTTTCCTTTAAAAATTGTTAGATTTTACCAGTTTGATTTCATTTGTATTTAAATACTACGAATGGTTGATTCGGCTATGACGGAAATAGATCAGAATCAGATCGGCTATATTTACTTCGGACATTCTAGCCACTTTTTGCGCCATCGAAAATCCGTTCAGATTTAGATATAGCTCCCATATATTGTTTCGTCCTATTTTAGGTAAATGGTGCACCAAACTCCCAATATTCGTCCGATTGGGACAAAATTTTGCACAGGGTACTGAATTAGGTCTAGATTGATATATGTCAAGTTTTGTTGAAATCGGTTCCCATATATAGTTTCGTCCGATTTTATGTAAATGGGGCACCATACTGCCAATATTAGTCCGATTGAGACAAAATTTTGCACAGAGTACTGAATTAGGTCCAGACTGATGTTTGGACCTAAAATCGTTTCAGATTTAGATATAGCTCTCATATATAGTTTCGTCCGATTTTTTGTGAATGATGCACCAAACTCCCAATATTTTTCCGATTGAGACAAAATTTTGCACAGAGTATTGAATTAGGTCCAGATCGATGTCTTCGAAGTTTTGTTAAAATCGGTTCAGATTTAGATATAGCTCTCATATATAGTTTCGTCCGATTTTTTTTTTTTTTTGTGAATGGTACACCAAACTCCCAATATTTTTCCGATTGAGACAAAATTTTGCACAGAGTACTCAATTAGGCCCATACTGATATCAGCGAAGTTTTGTTAAAATCGGTTCAGATTTAGATATAGTTCCCATATATAGTTTCCCCCGATTTTTTGTGAATGTGATTGACCAAAATTTTGCATAGCGAATACAATTCAGCGCACCGAAGGCTTTTCACTATTCGCAACATGTGGATGCGTCCGATAATGGTGTTTTGGATTCTGATTTTATGGATAATTTCTCTATCAAAAATTATCCATTTAAGGTTCGCTGTAGGCCTTTATACCTTTATATGGTATTCCCCACTATTTGATATTTTGGGCATGTTTTTTAAAGTTAATTGGCTTTAATTTTTGTATTTTGGGTTCTAGTTGGTTAGAAGTACCCACTATATAACAGTACCTACCAAATTTCAGTATTTTGGGCAGATTTTTCAAATCTTCTTATTAACAACTATCAATATATTTTTCAACCGTCAGGGTCCTAGCCCAACCAGACTGTCTTTAGTTAGGTATTTCGTTTTCTCCTGGAAGCCCCTACAGATTTTAGATATTTTGAATGGTGGGGGAACCTAACAACGTTTTTATTTGTTTTGATTAGAATTTGCATAAGGGGGTTAACGTTTAACTAAGTTTTACTCCTTTTTGAGTTTGAATAACCCTCCCACACAATACCTCATTTCATTTCTCTCTTGTTTTGTTTTTTTAGGATGGAATGCATTAAAACAATGTCCAGTAGAATTATTAAAATGCGACAAGCTCTGAGATCTCGTCTGGAAGAATTAAAGACTCCTGGTACATGGAATCATATTACTCAACAAATTGGCATGTTCTCCTACACCGGTTTAAATGGTATGTGTGTGTTTATATTTAATTGTCATTTACAGATTTAAGAAATTATCTCTTTTTGTTTTTGCAGAAAAACAAGTACGCATCTTGATCGATGAATATCACATCTATTTATTGAAAACTGGACGTATCAATATGTGTGGTTTGAACGAGAACAATGTAAATTATGTGGCCGAAGCTATTAATGCTGCAGTTACTCGTGTCGGCAGTCAATTGTAAAACTAGCAGCTGTAATTGTTATATTAATATTTTCTAATAAGTTATTTAAAAATAACAATAAAACAGAAGAGATGTGCTAATTTTTCCAAGAGGTGAAATTGGAAAATATAAACTAAACTAAACGCCCAAATGGGATTTCTTAAATGGTTTCAGTTAAACGAAATGCAACAGTTTAGGGAATTCAAACCTGTGCGATATTGAGAGAAAACTTTGTCGTTTCGTTATTACACAATAAAATAACCCAATTTATAATTAGAAAATTGTCCCAAACAACAACAACAACTGAATTTACAAACAACAAATCAAAGCCAAATAAACATTACTCAACAAAATTTCATAAAAAATGATTTATTTATATATGAACTTTTTCAAGCATTTAGATCTAGTTAAATGTTTGCATTTCCTCACTTCACCCAAAAAGTAACACATATATAACCTATGAATGAAAATAAACACTGAACTATTTGTATACAGGCCAAAAGTAATATATACATATATAAAATAATTATACAAACAAATAACTTTACAATTTACAAAAATTTGCTAATATTTGTATAACTACAAACATTGTATTTTTTAAATGTGTTTTTACGAATTGTTGTTACTGATAAATGCATTTTCCGCAGGACACTAACACATCCACACAGATCTTTATTAAAAAAGAAAAATAAATTATGTAAACACTCGTCTGTTTGGCTCTTATCTATTGTATACACAAAAAAGCGAATACGATAGATATTTACTAAATAAAAAAAAAAAAAAAAAAAAAAAAAAACATGCACACAGGGTAAATATGAAATCAATTATGATATATTTAGATCATCAAACATGTTTATTACATCAAATATGTAAGGAAACTATTTGTATTTGTTAGCATTTAATTGATTAGCAATTGAAATATTAATAATTTAAACTAAAAACTAATTTGTTTTTTTTTTTTTTTGAATCAATAAAAGACAATAATTAAATTGTGGTTGTTTTATTTTATTAAAAAAATTATTTTCTCAATGATTGCGAAGGTCAGGAATCATCTGTTGAGCAGCTGAGTCATCATACTTTGGTTTATATGCGATGTTACCTTACGATGTTGTTGTTATAGCAGTCCACTGCTTTTACACAATGGACTGATGTGATAGACGTTGCGAAGTCAATTCCATTTGGTTGAAGTGATCTTGGTTGTCTTGCATGTACGGAGAGTGCCGCAGATGAATAAACCCCACGCTGCAGTGCAAAATTGTAACAGTTTTACTATAGTACAAGTTCTTTCCCGAACAAATGACAGAAAATTAAAAAAAAAAAATGACGCACTATTGGAAAAAGATTTGTTGGTTTGGATGAGTGTCTAGTGTGAGCTTTGAAGGCAAAAAGAAACAGTGCACCGTTGATGAGAATTTAGAACATTGTAGTTGGGCCTAGGAAAGAAAATGTTTGGTACGAGTGTTAAAAAAATAATTATGGATTAATAAATAATTATGGTTAGAAAAAACTGAGAATGATGAACAAATGAATTAAAAACAAAATTAAGAGATCGATCAAATATACTCTCCCTAAGTGACCACCGGTATAAAAATAGATGTACGAATTATGTGACAAAATTCAAATATTTAATATTTATACAAAATGTTCGTCTCAATAAAGATTAATGATTATATATGTATTAAACGCTATTAAAAACGTTCCAAATAGAGCCACAGCAATTTGAACTCCACTAAAATGGCCGCTGCTTTGAAATTGCTTGGACAGGGTGGTTATCAACAACAAATCGACTAAGACCATCTCTTAGGATTATCACAGCAATCTATAAGACCAAACCATTAAATATGAACACATAGTTAGTTTCACATCTCTATCTAAACTCAAAAACTACTGCACCGATTGGGACAAAATTGTATATACATGCTCTGTGTGGCGTGAGGAGTGTTTCTGTGTAGTTTGAAGTTCGTCCGAAAGATTGCGCAATATTTAGTATTTTTGTGTTTTTGCACCGTAACTCAAGAACTACTGCACCGATTTTGACCAATCTTTATGTATATGCTCTATGGGCGTGATGAGTGTTTCTGTTTAATTTTAAGTTCGTCCGACAGATGGCGCGATATATAGCTTCTTTGTGTTTAGCCCGATTAGAGATTAGGTGCTTAATCGACGTGTGTCGACGTTAATTACTACGACACCAATTTATAAATAACCTATTTTCGTAAAATGAGCGTGGGAGTCAGACAAAAAAAGTATAATTGATAAGTTAGTAAGTAAAATTAATTTGAATCAATTTACAAAAATTATTATATGATGGGACCGATTTGAATCCAAATTTTTTTCAGTTATCTGTAATTGCAGTGGGAAGGTTTTTGTGAATGGACATTTTGAGAAAAAAAAACTTATCTTTAAGGAACGGCTGGACCGATTTTCAATGGTAGACAATGTGGGATATATACCATAAAGTGGTACTATACCGACAATTTACAGAGAAGTTTTTTACCCTACATGAAATACCGAATTAAAGGCAATTTATAGGGTATTTGTTATTACTTTCAAAGTACCTAAAATCAGACTATGCCAAAATATGGACCGAAGATAAAGAGGTTTAAAAACGCCAACTAATGGTGAGCCAATATCTGAATCATTGTCTGAAACTTGAACGTCTTCTAAATAGGAAACGAAACCAGCTTTATTTGTGATAAAATCTCAAAACATATACATATTGTTTAGTGTACAAACCTTGTTTTTTCCTTTTTCTTTGTAATTTATACCATTTGTTTTTTTGTGTTTTTGTAATTTTATTGTAATTCACTTATGTTGTAATTCTGTGGTTGTAATTGTAATTGGTTGTTTATTCATTTGGTGTACAATTTTATATTTTTTTGTAATTCGTTTTTCTTGTATAATTTTTCGTATTTAACAATTTTTTATATCTTTATTTCAAGTATGTGTAATTTCTTTTATGTGTAATTCTCTGTGTGTTTAATATATGTATATGTGTTGTGTGTACTTTAAGTTTAATTTTGTAATTTGTGTATTTAAAATTGGCTTGTTTAATTTTGTATATATTTCGTTTCACTTTACAATTTTAGTTTTCTGTGTGATTTGTAATAATTGTTATGTTTTTCACTATGTATGTTTTGTAATTGTGTAAAAAATCACTTTCACAGGGGGAGATCACGATTCAGACTGACTCGCTTTGCTGCTTCCATCACCTTATAAGCCTTAATTATGTTTTCCAGGATTTTTGGAAAGCAGCAAAGCGGCTAGCAGTACTAAAAAAGGTATATGCCTATTACATATGTACCGCTAGTCTTTAAAAATTGAAAAACAACATACAGTGGTGGGCAAATGTTACCACTGTAAAAATTATGAAGGTCTTTGACCGAACATTCTCCCCCTCCGTGAATGAGTGAGATCTTCTAGCTCCTCTCGAGGTTTTTAATGGGTCCAGAGATGACAAATCCCACTGCTGTTTCATACCCGTACACATCACCCAGCCCAGTAAACATCCGGCCTTCGCGGCCTATAGCTGAGTACGTGTCGCCGCCTAGCTCCAACTCGATGGGGGTATTGCCTCGTGGATCGACATCTGCCAGCCTATTTGTAGGGAAATCTTTAGTAGGGTCTTCTATTATGGGGTCCTCGTATGGTCGGTAGGGGAGTTCATTGGTTATCAGCGCGTTAACCTTCAATGCCCAATTGTCGTTCATATTCCGACTCATAACTTTGAATGAACAGAATCTTCTCCCTTTGTGCAGGAAGGACCTCAACCCCAGACGTCTGAAGGAGGAATATGATATTCTGGACATTACGGAGGCTTGATTGATCAGAGCCCTCAGTGTTGCATATGATTCGCTGCCATCCGCCACCACCCGTACCATTGCTGTTGGTACAAACACCAGATCCCAAGTAAATTTTACGATAACATCGGGGATGGTTGCCATAGGTTCGTCGATTTGAGGGGCGCCATGAAGCAAGGTGTGGTGGCGAATGTCGCATTTGTGGCAGCTCATTAGAGATGAACAATCTGGGGCAAGGTGGCTTCTGGCTAGGCAGTTCCTGCAGTAACTCCTTCTTTCTACCGTCTCATATCGTTGGTATGGTGAGAGGCTCAGGAAACGGCGACACGAACTTAAGGCGTGGTCTTCTTGGCATAGACCGCAAGCGTGTTGCCAATGGCTGGGGCGTTCACGTCTGTCATCTCGTTGCTGGCGTCGTTGGGATGATCTGCTTCGCTCATCTTCTCGGCGTTGACGGTCCACCGACCTGGGGTTTTGCTGACGCCGGGCCGGACGATGGCTTCGGTTCTCTGGTTGCCAATCACGGTCTTGTAAGTAGGCTGCCATGTCTGAAAAGAGTGAGAGGAGAGTACCAAGGTTTTTTGTAAAGGGGGGACCGACTAGTCAGTCGGAAAACAATTTGACGACTTTTGATATGGGTCGAGTTATCGTTCCTCCAGTAGTACGTATGTCAACAACCCGTACGTTAGTGTCTATTCCGTGATATGTTTTAACTATTCTACCCATTTTCCACTCAGTCGGAGCGAGTCTATCGTCTTTAATGACTATCAAATCCCCTTCCTTCAGATTTTCCTTCTCATATTTCCATTTTGTTCTACGGTGTAGCTCTCTGAGATATTCTGATTTCCATCTTTGACAAAAATGTTGGGAAATTATTTTAAGTCTTTTCCATCTGTTGGCTAGAGTTAAGTCACCATCGGAAAAATCAGGTTCGGGTGGAGCAAGAATTGGCGTGCCAATCAAAAAGTGACCTGGCGTCAGCGGAGAAAAATCATTTGGATCTTCACCAGCTGGACTCAAGGGTCTAGAATTTAAGCATGATTCAATTCGTGTTAAAATAGTACAAAATTCCTCAAACGTAAAGTTCATTTTCGGAATTGATTTTCGCAAATGTATTTTAAAAGATTTGACGCCGGCCTCCCATAGACCGCCCATATGGGGTGCCCCAGGAGGAATAAATTTCCAATTGAGATTGTGTTGAATATTGTGTTGGATGACAGAATTTTGTAAATTTTTGAAAAATTGGAGTCTATCCTTTTTAATGATT